ACACCACAAAAGGGATGTTGAATCCTTCGCTGGTGTGTCCTGTGTATTTGTCCCATTATTGATGATGTTGTCTTTGATCAATTAGTTARAGTAGTTTCTGCCAAGTTTCTCCACTGAAGGTTACAATTTCCCCACTGTAATAAATAACCAATTTGTGAGAAGATGCTTTCCAACTATGGAAATGTGTGTTTCCCATTATACTTTCACCCACTGGTTCTGATCCACTGATGTTTTCTTGATCCAGATGGTTAACTATGCTTGCTAATGGTGATTTTCTAACTTCATCAATCCATCTTTTTTTTTTTTTTAGGAGATGTTCTACATAAAGAAAGGACTTTCCTTCTTCACTTTATCCTTTATTCATTTCATTGTTTATATCATATTTTTCATCATGAATTTTATCATTTACTGTAACAACTAACTATTTTCCTCTCACTCCCCCYACCCCGCCCATCCCTTCTATCTCTGTTGTGTACAGTGGGTACTTGAAAGATAAGCTCTGTTAGAATTTGGTGTTTAATTTTCTGTTAATAGATAATTTGAAATTTTTCTTTTTTTTTTAGTTTCCTAGGCTAAAGGCTTAGGATTTGTGTTTTTTGTTTTATTAATTTTTTTTTGGTTGTATATTTTTTAGGATATACATGTGGAAAGTTTCAGATTCAGGTGGCTTCTGCTACCTGAGCCACCAGAAWTCCCAGCCCATATTTTTTAAGGATTTTACATAATTTATTGATATTTCAAGATATTTTCATCATACTGGCATTTAACTTAAGTTTGTGGGTCACATAGCTAGCTACACATTTAGTGTTCAGTGTTTCCCTAGTCCAGTTTTGTTTAATTAAATTGGAGGATTTCTCTTTATGATTATAATTATATTGGTACATTGTATCTCTTTTAATCCAGGAATTATATCTATAGGAACATTATGTCTACAGTTACAGTTAAAATCATTGTTTGAAATAATTAATTMTTTTCATGATGTACCAATGATATGGTTTATAACTTTCTCCCTTAATTTTAAAAATGATCTACTATGTTTAAATATGTGGAAATCCAAACCCTCAACATTTTAAAATATGTGTATAAATTAAAACATCATAACTAGTTAATAGCACCTAATTTGGGAAATTATAATACTGTATTGAAGTACATATTTTAAGAAGTTACTTTAACCAACAGTGTAAACATTTTGAACGTAAGAAGAAAAACTCTYTAGTTTCAGAACAAAGAATTCCAGTGGTATTTTGCAGGAAAGAAGGTTTGGATCAGGGGCAAAACCTCTAGCGCTTGAAATTACCAAGTAGAAGAATTTGCAAAAKTAAGGGCTAGGTGAGTGAAGAAGACTTGTGCCATAGAAGAGGGCAGCCAGTTCTCTGTTCCACATGTGAGTTCTGAGCACAGCCTTATGAAAATTCTTTCAAAAAAGCTAGAAATGAGAATTCTTATGAGCAATATACCAGTTGTGACTGTTGTGTAATATTTTGAAAGCCRTGGTGTGATGTAATATGTGCTAATAAGTCAGTTTTTTAGTTTAAATTAAATTTATAGTTTAAACTGATAATAGAAACCTAAACATTGTATATATTTATGGGTATCATGAAATTTTGAAATCTGTGTACACTGTACAATGTTAAATCAGTGTAAATATGTCTTCACATGTGTCATTTCTTCATCGTGAAAACATTCAAATGATTTCTTCTAGATTTATAAAATATGCATAATGTTATATTATCTATAGTCATCCTACCATGTAATAGTACACCAGAACTTCTTATTCCTATGTAATTATAACTTAGTACACATGGATCARTCCCTCCTTTGTTCTGCCATCCCCCTATTCTCATGAGCTTCTGATAACTGCCATTCTACTCTCAACTTCTAATGGTCATTTTTTTTTTTTTGAGATTCCATGTATGAATGAGATCACATGCATTTGTCTACGTGTTCTAATTGTACTTATCATGGTCTCAAATCCCATCATGTTTTTTTTTT